GCCACTTGTCAATTAATAATTAGAAGTTGCTTCAGTGACAATCTTTTTAGACAAAAGAACCAACGTATCACAGCCAAAAATACGTAATTCACTAATCAAATGGCATCAGATAATGGAAACCAAATTACGTAGCACAAACAGAAAATACACAACGGTTATACAGCCTAGTATATGTTGCGAAAGGAAATCAGTTCACACGATTCACGAGGACAACATAAAAACTTTCTCTCTCAGCTGGCGTTGGATTAATATTCAGCCATGGAAATTGCAACGAAAACCATATGGATACGTTTAACTTACAAACGCTGTTTCAATCTATTTAGTAACATAGCACTATAAAACTGGACTAATTCGAAACAGCAGGCCTCGAAAACTCAGCTCTTATCGGAGTGGAAATTTATATTTAGGTGAAAGATAACCCTATATTTTGCTCGCCAAAAATATATAGAAAGGACCGCGTTTTCAATGTCGGTTGGAAATTCTCAGTTTTAAATAAAACGAAATGTTTCTTTAGCTGTTGGCAAATTTTGGAATAAACTTTGAAGACTTGTGTGGTATAACAACTGCCTAAAATAGACACAACACTTCTCGATGTTTCGACCTTCTTCAGGAGAGTTAGTATGAAAATAAATAGGGGAGAAAACATGTTTTGTATGGGCAAAAAACACGTGATGAAAATAGGCCAACAGAAAACAAAAAATCAAAACAAATTGGAATACACTACGTTGCCAAAGAGACGCCTGATTGTGGGCTAAGAATAGCCCGAATGAGGGAAGCCTGATCAGTTGTTGTACCACATTTGATGCTAAGTTGTTTGAAGACGCTGCCACGCTGCTCCCTGGTTATATTGGAACGTATTTACTTTAGTCTTTAGTTCTGTTGGCCCAAAATACGACAATGTATACTTGTATAAGGTCTTTCATATCAAAGGTCTAAACCAGGCTAGTTTATGCATTTTACTGAAGATTTTTGCAAAGAGTATTTGCAAAGAGTATACAAGGTAGGAATTTTCCATATACTGTCAAGTTGCTTCTCAGGTAATCAAAAAAATTGTATAAAACATGCTAGCGTAAAGTACATGCAAGTACTCTAGTCGAGGCGTAACTCCATGCAGCATACCCTCACAACTTTAATTTAAATGTTATGCAAATTTCTAAAATTCTAATGGGAAATGCATGGCAGAAACTTTCATAGCGTAAAAATTAAGGGAGTTTAGTAGTGACGACGAGTACAAGAGCGAGTACATGATTCGTCACTCTAGTCTAGCGTATTATTAACTTACGTCATCAGCCAAAACTCGTAGTCGTCAACGAATCTTGTACTCGTAGTCCCAATTAGTGCAACCATGCAGAAGATCATATTACATTATGAGAACACAAAAGTGAGATATAACAATCCCACCCTTCCTATCCGAATTTTTTTTGTGTTTTTATTGATAGCTGAAAATGGACCTTGTTTTTGTCCAAGTGGTATCACAAGTGTTGTTTGCGACCTGGAAGTGTTGAGTTACGTTTGCTCGAGCGCTGTTTTAAACTGAATTCAAAGGGGGCTTGCCTCGCTTTGACGATTTTATTTTGTGACGTGCGCACACCGTCATTTCAAAGTATCAAATGACCTACTGCAAATCAAGCCTGTAGTAGTACATCGGAAGACGAGTTATTGTGACGCATGCATGAAAGCAACACGGCCTAATATACCGCGATCTTAAACATAACCGCTGAGGCAAGCGCTTCTCAAAACAAAAACCCCAAACCGGCAAACCTGATATGATACTCTTCCGCTAACCCATGCATGCAATGTTAACATCTACCGTAGAAAATTACCAAACGCTGTTTTTATTGCGTGGTTTTTTATACTTTGAACTGAGTGGAAGCTGGGGTGACCAAAACTGTTCTGTTTCTATTTTACAACTTCTTGCAAACAACTTGTAGGAAACAAATCATTCGAAATGATTCGCAAGGCTCGATAGTAATTGGTGATATCGAAATTGCATATAGTTACTATTGTTATTTATATCGCACAAACCATCATCTCTAGTGCGAACCCCCTAATTCTAACGTGTATCATTTAAATTCCAAAAGTATTGCCCCCGAGGGAAAATGAGCGGTAACGTTTTAAGTATCTAAAACATTTTTTAATCTTTATTGTTTGATGGAGTGCATATTGTTCGACTGGCGATATCAACAGCTTCGAACATGGTAAACAAGCAGCTATGTTGGAATTCCAGCTCGGAGAGGATGATGGAAAATAGAATGTCATACTGCTGGGCTAAAAATGGCGTTTTTGTCAAACAGAGAGGGATAGCTTATACGTGTGAACGTTTAATGACTTTAATAATTTCGGAACTACAAATTCATCGAAGGATTGACTAGGTAAACTGAACCTTCTAGTTTTCGTGTACTTTCGTGCACTTATTACTTTAATTTATCTATTACGACAAAATGACCAAAAACAATGCATAGAATAATCGCGATCAAACATTCGCACAGTGGTAATGAACAAAGGCACAACCCAAAACATTTAAATATTGAAAATTTTAAGCTATCACATCGTGTTTAGCACGGACGTCATTTGTATATTTTTAACATAATTAGCAACATGATACTATACATCCCATTCCCATCTCTCTGTGCGCGCATAAATAGAAAGCTGGGATTGTTGCCAATTCAAATATTTAACATTGTGTAAAAATTGCATGGTCATTTGCCTTCAAACTGTGCTTGGTGAGATATTCCCCTGGTCATATATCTGACTATATCAGAGTACGTACAAGCTTAATGGTGGGTACGATTCACAATACGGTCTGCTTACATTTTAAACTGCTATATTTCTTAAACTATACTGTACATATATGTACTTTCCGAATTTTACTTTTGTTAAAAATTGGATAGAATTTATGTTCAGAATCAATTGAAAGACACTGTAGATCTATAAGAAACCTTCAAATCAATCCCTCATTGCTATTTCTCCAAAACCAAAAAAGAAAACATTTTGAATATGTATAGGGCTCTATAAATACAAATCAGTTTTTGTGTAGAATGCTTCATTCTGTTGTGCATCGCAATGAAATACGAGCGAGGATTATGTTTTCAGCCTCTCGCGCTCTTTAGATTATTCAGCTTAGGTAAAAAATACATATAAACTTGCGTTCAAAGATTTGGGAAAAAAATTATTTCAAAAAACAGTCTTGGTAGCCTGGTTCATGTGATAACAGATAAAGTTCTTGAATGAATAGGGTCTGAAGTATCTTCCCTACAAGAAATCGGCGATATCTAAATCTGATTTGTCATGGGTTCCAAGGAGGTAAATTCTGAAACAGGAGCATCTGCGTAAAGTATATAAATAATGTACCCACAAAAAAGTTGATACAAGTGTATGCATGCAAATCACAGAAGTATATTTTGATACGCCGCCTCTGATTTCGAGAATTTTCTGGCTTGAAATGCGAACAAGCAAAACACTTTGAATTAATTGGCAAATTTCCACACTAAACACGGCGCCGCGATCAATTTCCGCGAACCCATAAATCATAAATGCGAAAAAACAGACAGCTATATATTAACTGATTCATTTTTTCAAATTGCGTAACTGATTAATGTTCTCTTCTTGAATTCATATTAATTACCCCTAAGGAGGAATTCGATATATACTTTGACCTTCTCGATAGCTTTATACAAGGTTATCTGAAGAACGGAAATTTAAGATACCATAAATCAATCTGTTCATATATATGCATGTCGGATATAAACGTTCACGATTTCATCGTACATGTTTTCAAAAAAATATATAGAAAACATATACACAGAAAACAACTACTGATATTCTCCAGGAGCCATACAATGCACTTTATACAAATATTCTTGCAGGATGCGAAAATTTACTAGTTGCAGATCGCGCAAGTTTAAAGAACTAAAAACTATATATGGCACCTAAATACATCTTATTAGCATACTTGTTGGTATAAACATATATGCGAAAAATCCTTCTATCGCATCACATCTGGAAGGTTACCCAACTTAGGAAATAGCGCGAATATGCGAACCGAACTTTCTTTGCATAAATTTTGATTACATATTTGCACATACTTTAAATCAAGCGATTTGATTCATTGGTGCAAACAAATAATGCCTAGCTGTTAATCTTAAATGGTTTCGATAGAACTTATACTTATACGATCTCTGCTTGTTAAAAAGTAATGTATATATCGTATATATACTGTACTGCAGTGGACTCTGCGGAGAGCGAAGTTGTTGCCTATACTGCAGTAATGTAGCAGTGACGTACAGCCTAACAATTAAAGCCTGGGCACTTTCGTCGTGTCTGAATCTCCATGGGGCTTTTCTTCGTCTGAGGTCACTATATAGTGCGCAAAATGCTTTGTCGGGAAATAATATAAAGACAATGGATCCCGATTCTGAAGAGTTAGTGTTAATCATAGTCCATAGTGTGAACGAAGGGACATGCATAGCAATGCTATATGCAAATTTCTATTTATGATAACACTCATTCACCTCTTTGAAAATTTGTTGTTTTCAGTCCACTAACACCTAAATATTAGCATATATATATATATATATATATATATATATATATATATATATATATATATATATATATAGCTTTAATATGGTCAGGTTCGCTACGCGGCTGCAGTGCAGGTCTACATATGATGCAACTTAATTATCAACATTTGATTTTGACACACGCTTTCGATTTTAGACAATTTGAGACAAAAAACCGGTTTTATTGATTTGTTCGCAATTACCATGCATGTAAAATAAATTTGCATAACTCGCATGTTATGCGTAAAAAACAAGGTGCTTTTACCGCTCTGCATGCATGGTTTAAATATCTTTCGGAGTCATTTTGAAACTATTACGTTAAAAGCTAAATCTAATGATTAGAACGACTTGGTTGGTGGAAATCGAACCCAATTTATACACGTCGAAGACCTGATTGGGGAATGTTCGAATTTATTATTCAACACTATCGGCGAACCTGCAGGAATCGAGCGATATCGGTGTATTGCTACACAGAACGATGTACCAGAGCGAACGAAGGATTCATGTATATAAATGGTGATGTAATGCCATTATGTAGATAAAGGTATAAATTATTGATATAATTTCAGGAATTTCGCTCAATGGTGATAACAATCAGAGAGTGGAATTTTTTTTTTGGAATTCCGCTCGATTTTCCAAAAACCACGAAAACCCTCTGATGTTTATCTCCATCGAGCGAAATGCGCAAAATTATATTCAAGATTTACCTTCTGAGAAGTTCAACTTTGACTTGACACAAATAGGAAAGATAATTTATATATGTAGTATATGTAGTACTGTAAAAGATATTTTATATAGATTTGCTACAAAAACACGAAAACAATACAATTAAGAAACATATCAATTGATCAAACTGAGACGTTGCATGCAATAAACATATTACATATGGGCATGCATGACAAGGGGACAGCACATCACATATACAAAAGAGCGTTTCTTCTTTTAGAGACCTTTATAAAAAGTTTGCGCCGTCGCCTAGCTTGTGCGTAAAAGCATGTTCCTGATTGGCTTGGCACATTGGCCAATCACAAACAAGATTCTTCCGCAAACTACGCCATAAAATTATATGTATTAAATATTCTACTGTAAATGCCGAATTGAAATGAATTCGCTAAATTGTACCTATGTTTTTGAATCTCTTAATTCTTGATGGGACATCGTGTTGGTGTAACACGGGATCGGCACGGAACTCGGCAGTCTTTAGAGGTAGTTTTCCAAAGAACTTGACAAACTCTTGAATGCAAAGAGACCTTTCCACGAAATGGACATGGTTTGGGCCAAGTGCATCGCCATGTGCACACTCGGGACATTTGAACCTCTTTCGGGGCGTTACCTACACACAAATACGCGATAAGTGTTTTTTTACCTAATAAGATTCTTGGTCATAAAAACATGTCCTTGCATGAACTTTGATGTAAACGACGTTTAGGATACTGCATGGCGAAGCTGTTCCTTTGATAAACATTAATAATTCCAAGGGTTTTACTATGTATCGGCTTCGTCCAATCAGAGGCCCTGAGGCTGAGAGATTTTATCACTGACCGTTATCGTTCCAGTCTACTAAAGGTTCACTGCGAAAAACACGCTAGTAGGGACCGGTTGTTCAAAGCTAGGTTATAGCGCTGTCCCTGGGTTAAATTTTAATCCGCTGTTTTAGTTTACGTGCTTCTGGCACTGCCGCTTGTTTTAAACCTTTACAAAATATAATTTCTATTGAACCAGATAATACTCATGGAAAAAATATTCAACTTTTATAAACAAGCGATAAAAGAAATTGTTGTAAAAATTTGCGTTAAACCTGGGTTAAATTAGCCAGCTTTTAAACAACCGGCCCTAGGAGTGTAAAGGAGTAAAAAATTGCCAAAAATGGCATTTATAGAAGATATTTCCGTCTGACAGTATCGATTTCCAAGCTTGAAATTAAAGGCAGTGTTTTACGTCTGTTATGGGGAATACGTTCGAGTTAACATGCAGTGGTGGCTTTCATATATATGCACAGTTCGTCATTTATCGGGAAAAATGGCGGAAAAATTGATGTTAACAAATTCAAAATGACTTCTTCAAATTGCAATTTAAAAGTGAAGCTTAGACAAAATAAAGAACGCAGGCGGGAGAAAGCAAAGCGTAAACACAGCAAAATGTCGATTTAGGATATTGGGGCGTTCGAGCGAGTGTATATTATATATATACTAACCTTGATCGGTGCCTTCCCAGTATAGTTTGCCACTAGAAAATTCATCGCGATATCCTCACAGTTCATGTGCTTGTCAACCCACCTTCGAATAGTTGCAGGCATCATATAGGTGAAGACTTGACTGAAATACTATAAAGATTGTAAATTTAGAAATGGTTAGATAGAAAGTCAAGACCGCAGTGGTACGGGTGACGATAATTGGGGAGGGGAGGGGGTCACATATTCATATATTCATGTTAACAGACCTGTAAAGACAATGGATCTGAAAAGAAATCAATCTTGCACAATATTAATACAATTAATTTTATTGTTTAGATTTTATTTTCGACACGATCCAAGGAAACTATGCTTAATATGTTAAATTAGCTTCAACTTATATTGTAAATTGACAGTGTGTGAAACCGTTGACGGTGTTTGAAAACGAATGTGAAAACGCTGAATTGACGGTGTTTGAAAACGAATGTGAAAACGCCGAAAAACCTTATATATACCGCGTGTGCACATAGCCTCACGCTTGTATCCTAAAAGCTCACTCACACTCAAACTCATTAAGTTATGCATGAGAAGATCTCAATCTTCTCATAACTTATCCATGGCGATATTTTCAGTCAAACAATAGTTTGATTTTCAATGTTTTACCTTAAATCTTTTCATTGATTAACAAAGAATTTACTCAAAGAGTGTGAGTGTGAGTGAGCTTTTTGAATACAGGCGTTAGTGTTTATGTTCGAACATGCAAAACAGCCAAAACGTAAGCAATTTTTATATCGGAGGACACTCGCAATGTTATGAGCATTGTTGGAGACGACTTTGTTTTCAATATATACTTTATTTCTTTTGATGCTGTGCTATTTCTATGGTGATTGAGATCGTATGGGATTTTCTGAAAGGACCGAACCCCTTTTCCCATGCACATTATTTACATTCCTGTTACTAGAGGAAATTTACATTGGTACCTGAATTTCCAATTTAATGACTAATTGGTTGGTTAGGAGATTTTTGCTGCCGAGAACGTAGCGAAAAATGCAACTAAGGACCTCAGTTGCACATGAGAAGCCGACAGTAAATTTTCAGTAAATTTGAAAAGAATTTATCTTATATTTTAGAAACAAAATAATCCTTAAATTCATTTCCAACCCTAGAAAGTGTTCCTTTACAAACGACTAGGTATATAAGGTTGAAACTTCCTATGTTTTATTCCTTTTGGCTAAATGATGGCGGCCAAGTTATCTTTATATTCAGTGAATTCTATCTATTAGGACTGGAATGGACTAAAACAATAACTGATAGTTATTTAAGTAGTAAGGGGAATGAGTTCCAGTACCAGTCCCTTTCTACTGTTCTAAAGTACGACCGTTATAACAAAAACAATAAAAATGGACTGGTGCTGGTAAATATTCCCGCAATAAAATAAGGGCTGCAGCCTCATTACCTTGTGGTGGAAGGAGGCGCCAGTCAAAACCATCGAGACATCATTTAACCATTCTGATTCATACTTAAGTCGACTGGAAGAATTGCCTGATGTGTGAAGACGACCAGGAAACCCAACCAGCCTGTCTGGATATTCTAACCAAACCTGGCGAGAAAACAAACTGTATCATCTAGGCAGGACAGAAACAGGGGCAATAGGCAGGTAAATAACCATACCATTGCCAAAACGACGATAATAACTGAATAGGCAACAGCAGCTAGATGGGCTCAGACGCAAAATTAATATCGAAACTCTAGATGGTCAGCCACCTCCTCAAAATACTTTAATTACGCGAATATTTGACACTAGATAATTATGCTTTCTTTTCGGAGTGGGGGAGGGGGGGAATCCGCTAATGAAGTATTTGGCAAAGTCATACTGGCTTACGCCTGTATTCAACGACATGATTTGATACGACATGATTTGATCAGATTTTCCACCCGATGAGTTTGAGTGTAGTGAGCTGTTAGAGTATACATACAGACGGAATATATTGAGTTCTGAGTTATGACTTGACATTCTGAATCGAACAGCGGCTGCAACATCACTTTCATTTATATTTTTATTAAATTTTCCAATGAGAAACAACATCATAGTTAGGGTTGAGTGTATTTGCCCTTATTTAATTACAAACTTTAAAATACTTGAGATGAGAATTTCAGTAAAAGTTGCTGCAATCGTTACGGGTTTGACCTATAGTGAAGCCCTATTATTATTAAAACAGAACCAAGCCACCACGAGTTAGATGAGTTCGAAGTGAAAATTAACTTCAACATTGTTAAGACCCACCTCAAAAGCAAACTGTATTTCATCACCTGTCAACATAACAATATCATCATCCAGCGAAAAAATTGCCTCCGTTTCAATTTCATTATACGGAAAGAACCTTAAAAAAAGGTAATTTTAGATTTTTTAAATTAAATTTGAAAAATCGTATAGTATAGGGGATCCATCACCGTCGCTATTGGCATTTATTTTTTTATAACATATATACTCTGTGTTTAAGTCAGCCGACTAAAAAAGTTAATGAGGAGTGACTGAATGAGGAGTGACTGAAACCGACTTCGATCTTTCCGCCGAATGTTTCCCTAGATTACATGCAGAGAAAATCAGGAAAATAACCACTATTACACACACCTGTTGCTAAGCTTGTTTGCTTTGGTTTCAATAACTTCGATTGGCTTTGAAAGTTTGGGCCATTCTGACTCTACGTGAAACATATAAACAATAATTTTCATACAGTTGCGCAAATCCTCGCGAAACCGATGCCATCAAATTATAGGCCATAACCATGCATTCAAACCATCGCGTTGTATGACGCTGCTTTTCGAAAAACAACAGGGACCTAAAGGTTCGTTTCACTTGCGATTTTGATGCGATTTTCTTGTTTTGATAGATGTGAACGAGTGGCCAGTTACGAATGCTCTGACCTATAAAAGCTCTTATTTAAACATCAGTATAACCAAATCACCCGTTCACATCTATCAAAAGGGGAAAATCGCACATCAATTCGTAGCAGAAATTGCAAGTGTAAACGGGGCCTTTAAGCATGTAAGACGGGAACACGACGACGGCACGGTAATAAATACAATGAGTCATTGAAAAGAAATGCATACGGCCCTATAGAAATGTTTCAACGTCTTATACTTCATTAAATTGATACAATTAAGTAAGTATAGTTGGCAAATTCTTCTCATTGGCTCGGTTACGTCGAATGCACTGGTGGTCATCAGCCTGGGCTGCTATAATATGTTTGCTACTGCATATTCTCCACAATTGGCATGTGTCCTCCGTTTTAGTTTAAAGCTATAGTCTTAGTTTAAACGCAAATAAAGCGAAATTTTCTGTGGGTAACCCCCCTCCCCCTTCCAAAAAAAAACAGGTTCACTTGGTTGAAGATGCGCGATGTCGAGGACTGTTACCCTCTCTGACGCTAAAAGTAAACGTGTAGGTAATAATCCAAGCGGGGGAAATATGGAAAGAGGAAATTTAAAACCATATAGTAAACCAAATAGACAACGCTAACGCGAAAAGTCAAATATGCTATCAAATCGTGTTTAAAAAATTAGCTACTACATACCTAGAGGTGGTGCCTTGTTGACATTGTTCCACACAACCACTATCTGTAGAAAAAGGCAAAAGCTATTGATAGACAGTTTGAGCCTGGAAGTACTTATATGTCCAGTTTCATTTTAGCACTCGTGATGTTACACGAGACAATTTTCAACACGTTGTTGCGATGCTAATTAGATTACATGAAATTAACTGGTTGGAACCTCTCAACCTCACACAGATTAATGGAAATTGTTGGAGCAGGATCACTGTCGAGTAAACAAGTAATTGCATTGATAGAAAGTTTGAGGCTAGGTAGCCCATGCAGAAGTACAAGTACTTATATTTTCAGTTTCATTTGAACCATTAGCTTCCTGCATAATATATGCAGTAATGACCGCATTATAAATCTGGACACAGGAGAAAACCTCTGAACACTATATAGATTTAAACCCGCGTGTTGATATATATATATACAAAATCGGCAGACGAGCTGCACTATATCTTCGAAATAAACTTAAAAAATGATCTATAATCTTTCCCTGCCCAGCAAACACCTACCGCAGACGTGGCCTGTTAGCTAAGCTTTCACGAGTAGTCATGCACTACTCACGTGCACGGTATAGGCTTCACCGGTCTTTTGTGCTGAGAGATGTATGTATACGTATAGGTACGTATACTAACGATATATTCAGATGTCTCATATTAATTTACTTCATCGCTGTATCGTGATGAATTAAAGGCCAAGTGAGGCCATATATATGGAGTGTACGAACCTTTGCAAGGCTTGGTGCCTGCACAAGCTGTTTCAACACCCGGAACAACATAGATACGCGATCGTACGTTAAGACCACAGCTGTAAAACCTTTTTGCTTCGGGGAAATAAGTGGGATTGTAAATGGGGGGTGAAGTATGTTCTGAAACAATAAAAAGGATAGTGTGTATTGTACATATTAAGAGGCATTTGGAACGAAATGTAGCTACATGCAGTTGCTGTACCTAATTATAAGTGACCTATATAGTACGTAACAACCCAACGTTCCTTGAGCGCTTATAATTCGGAGTAAAAAGGTGATGTTACACGGGAAATAGTATATAATTTAATTGAAATACATAGCGCATTATGAAAATATTGAAAGCGCTGTGCAATCTCAGAAAACAGTAAAGATTAAGACACTAACACTGAATTCTATCAAAGATTACAAGCATTTTTAAAAGCAAATGTTTTCAATAGTTTTTTGTTTGTCTAATTTCCAACGGCAAATTGATTTGGCCGTACCGTACCTCAGCTTTGCCAGTTGAAGGGATGTTTGGAGTGTTCCAATCCTAAATACACGACAAAAATGCGTATATAGAACTCGGACGTTTCCTGGTTACATCGTTATGTTATGAATTACGTGATTTGCAGTTAGGAAAGGGTGCGCTTATGGACTGGGTTCAAAGAGAAAATATTTCGTGCGTGTTACAAACTGGTAGAGTCGCAATATGAACATTTGTCGATCCGATTTCAAGTCCTACTTAACACCGGGGATTTTTCGTTTTTCTATATGTATGGATGCAGTGTCAGACCAAAACGAATTATATATCTCTGCATGTGGATGGTTCTACGCTTTCTCATGACGTTTTGCCAAAAGTGCATTTATTTTCTTCGTACTAAACACCTCAGCAACACATCAGAGCACTGAAGAACATTAGGGCGCTAAAGAGCAGGCGGACTTCTCAAATGTTATCCAAAGCTTTTCACGACAAAGCTAACACATTGCTAATTTAAACTTACCTCGTAGGACCAAGCAGCATTTGGAAACACTCTGTCGTTAATAATCTTGATCGTGGTAAGCGCGATCGTTTTCATCGAACTAAAGTAGTTAACCCAAAGATGTTTCACCTAAAAAGTTAAAAACGGCAAGTAAATTTTCGTATTTGGTCGTGTCGCGTAGCGACTTATAGTTTCGGCTTGGTTTTTTTATTATTATTTTCCTCTCGGGTCGAACCCCAGCGTCGCTAGCTGCAGGCCATATCACCCTAATCGGGAACCTGCGCACAGGTAAGTTGCTAGTTATTATGAATTAAGAAAGCGATCAAAATGCTAGCAAACGCTTTCCTCATCTTTACGTTCATTACACATATATACAACTACACACGCCGAGCACAGTAAGCCTACACTGGCTACCCTAAGTACAAGATGTAGAGCGGTTTTGAAATGGGCTGTTCTGTGTTTCTCCTGCTTTCAACATGCGACCTATAGTTCGGTATATTGTTCATTTTTATTATTAAGAACATTACGACACAAAATTTGCATAGCTGGGCTGGCTACGCCGCTGTGAACGACGCGACCATGACGCCTAGTAGGCGTCTTGTTCTAATAGCATATATAGGCTGGAGGTCGAACCTCAAAAATATACCTTTTGTCTTTCCTATTATTCTACGATTTTTTTAGTTTCAAGAAAAACAATGTAATTTTGTATATAGCTACGTATATTACGGTGAAAGAGTTGCCAGCCTAATGACGTAACCTAACGAATCAACCTTTTGAAGAACTTTAATGAAGCGGACAATGGACCATTCCTATATTAGGGTAAATCATGCAATTATGATTTTTGGCACTTTACTCGATGCAGGTAAATTCTAGAGGTTTAAGGGTCTTAATTTCGAGTGGAATTATACACACTTCAAATTCAAGCCAGGACCAGTTGATGGAAAAATTAGTCAACTATAGGTCCTCCGGCAGGAATCGAACCTACGCTTTTGCGATGCTGGTGCACTAGCAAGAGCATTGCACCGGCATCGCAAAAGCGTAGGTTCGATTCCTGCCGGAGGACCTATAGTTGACTAAATTTCCCATCAACCGTTCCTGGCTTGAATTTGAAGTGTGTATAATTCCATTCCTATATTAATTAAATTTAAAACTAGGAACATTCATCAGTGCAGCTACTGAAAAACAGGTCAGTTAGTCCGTAAGATAGATTTACTAACATCGTACGGCGATATTTTTCGTATTTTTCACCATTTTGCAGCCAAATAATCCGATTTTAGCAATTTTGGATGCTCTTTCCAGCTGTACATCTCACAACGGATAAATTTTATTAGTTTAGCATTTATAGTTTAATAGGGGGATTGTCCAATTATCATCTAGAAAACACTTTGGGGATCACATTTATATCAACTTTATAAAACTAAAAATTTTTGTTGTGTCAATTTCCAATTAACAGACCTGTTTTTTCATATCGGTAATTTCATCTGAAGTATAGGTCATCAAAATCATATACACGTCCGCGATCTGATCTTCGCGTACAATCACTGCTGCCCTGGAATATACAGAAACCCCACAATAATTCAGCACTGTACTGTAGAATATGTTACATCTACAGTAATAAATATATTGAATATATGTTTCACAGTTTACAGTTTACACGAGTCACGAATAGTAGCTATATAGCCTAACCAAGCACGACCTTTTCAAGCGGTTTGACGTTGCCGTTGTTGCAAATTTTACATTTAGTTAGCAGTCATTTACCTATACCTTATGTTAGAACGATTCAAAATTGGCATACAATAAACAGTTTCGCTGTTAAATTGCTGCTAGCTATTTCTAATGCTTCAATTTTTTTTAAAATCAAATGTCGTTTACACCTGGAAAAGTTGAAAAGAACCTCCATGGTAAACCGCCATATTTGCAATCGTATTATTCAGTAGTGGTAGGCGCTTTCTTAAAGAGAGTTGGTAAACTGATTGAAAACAGGCTAGAAAATTACCACAAAGAAGACTTGGAAATCCAATTTGTCTACTAGAGTGTTTATAAGTGAAACGAGACACTATTGCAATGACAATCCGCTGAGGTAAAGGCCCTGCTAAACGGTGCATTTTTTTTGCAACTTGCAATGTAATTCTATGGTACAACGAAACTTTTGTGTTCGTTACACTTCATGCACTTTCATTCTGCAAGACTCTTCACTAATTTACATCTCTTATAAGTAAAAACGCATTGCAAATTGCAAGAAAAATTGCACCGTGAAACAGGGCCTTAAATGAGCTACGTGAAAATACACCTCCAGCGGTTGAAAACGTGAACCGCAAACGTCAAACGGCAAAATTTCAACGTCAAACGTCAAAATAAATCTCTCTACTGTTGATTTTCTCACCTTGCCCAGTCAATAACTTCGGAGAAAGGCAAAACGTAGTTGTCAGCAATGATCACTGGAATACAGCCCTGGAATTTGAAGAAACATATTAAACGATCGTGTTATGGTCAAACATGGCATTAGTGCTTAGTATATTACACGAAAAACGTCAGCAAAATGAGATTCTCCCGTTTCTATCAAGGATTGCGAGCGACTATACCGCTTAATTCACCCCGAATCCAATTAATATACAATAAGACGCAAATCTGCCGCAAGTTTGGAAAGAGATCAATAGATTTGTTTTAAAATTAAGATCTATGCCTATTCAATTGTTTTTATCAAATGAGTTGTTTCTATACAGTCGTCTGATTAAGTAAGATCATACTAATCGAAGGCCTACATTTAACTCACCATCATTAAAATATCTAACAACGTTGTTTGGCCCAACCGGACGCCACGAATTACCATACAGAATGTAGAAGACTGTAGAAATAAATTTGAAATTTAATAGTACTGATTGTATGCATCTGTTTAAACCAGTTAAATCTAGTATAATCCATAAAAGAGTAGAATAATTAATGGCATGCATGAAGTCGATTTGAATACAAATGACTGATAATTGCAGGAGCCGCGCAGAGGAAACACGTCTTGCAAAGAACTGAAAGAGCTCGAGCATGGAGGAATGAAAAATTGAAAAAAAGCGTTCTAGTTCGGACATTAGTAATGGTTGCTTTCTACTGTCGCTCGAAACTTTTACGTGCGTGTACGTAGTACAAAAAACGCGACAGTGGAAACCAGCCCACGCAGACAGGACGCGAATTGGCAACGCGGCGCGAATTTTCAACGTTTTATATTTTTCAAAGCGAATAAATTTGAACTTATCAAAATTTGCTCGTAAATTACATAAAAATAACACATTTTGCTTGCTCTAGCGTCAATAGATTCCAAATTTTGATCCCAGAATTCAATTTATATGCTTCTGAAAACTGAAAATTCGCATAGCGTTGCCGCTATGCGTCCGGTCTGTGTCGACTTTAAGATTGGAAAGATTGGCTGCGAAATATTGAAGAATGTGACGAATATCGCCGTGTAAAGTTGGCAATCATATAGGTCGATGACATCGTTGCGTTTTTCGCGCTTACAAAATTTGCAAACTTCGCCATATTTGTCACATTCTTCCATATTTCGGAACCAAACTTTCCAATATCACAATATTTCTCTTTCCAGCTGTACTGATGGTGACGAACTTTTTTATATTTTAAAGGGGGAACGGCCTATCGTATCTCCACTCCAGTTACGAATCCTTACCTGTAGCACGTGTGGATACTTATACTGAACATTCCCGTAACACCGCGAATACATTTTGTCATCATTCAAACAACGATTTAAAACCAGAACCCCCGTTTTCAACGAAGCTATTTTTTCAAGCGTCGATCTAAACTGTGCATTATAGTTTACTTGAGTCGACAGAAGAAACCATTTTTTGCCGCCTTTGCTGGGGTTTCTAGGAAGAGAAAAACTTTTTCAACATTTGTACAATACAAAAACCCAAGTTCACACGGGTTTCCATTTGTCGTGAACGTATCATTTTCGTCGATACCGAAATAGGCCGGATGTAAATTTGTCCTTATTTTTGTGTTCAAATCAGTTGACAATTTTTAAATCCGTTTTTGATAAAAGTTTAATATTTTCCTATGAATATTTTGAAACCAATAAGCAATAGTAGTCATATTCTGGCCAGGGTTAGAGCTAACCTAGCTTTGAATGACAGGCCTCAGAAGGCCAAATTTAAACTTTCAACAGCCTCAGAGAAACTGTCAACTTTTGGACAGTAATCACTACATACTCATCTTTTTCAGATGGTCCACAAAACTGTCAGCCATATATATAGCAGCTAGTATATTTTGATGATTTTGTGATCAGAAACACACCAGTTCATATTATTTGGTGAAAACATTGCAGTGCTGCACATGATGCAGTGCTACATCTCCCAAATTCAATTCTTTTTTGTCAGAAACGGTGTTTGCTTGGAAACTTACTGAATAGATTCATCGCTGACAGCGAGTCTTGTTAATGAATTAAAGACTGGTATACTGATATCAAATGTTGGTCGATAAGACCAGGATGAAAATCCACCACAGCCAAGAAGGGCTTTATCTGTTTCAACATCTAAGCTTGTATTAAAGTCTGGATGCTGGCCTGGAAACATGTTGAAGATAAGATGGTTTTTTCCATGGTCAAGCTGTCTCCAGCTAATAAAGATATGAATAAAGATATGAATGAGATAAAATTGAAACTTTGATAAAGTTGAAATAAGCTTAGATAAAATTGAAAAAGAGTTGCTTTGCTCCATCCTGCCCTTCAAAGCACAGTTTTGAAGCAATTCCTTTTGGTATGTAAAACTACACATAAAACCTTTTTACTACCATGCAATGATTACAATCTGTTGGGGTAACCTGTAAGTAAAATACTACATGAGTCATGACTGTATGTTTCCTGATGTCATACAATAGCTAACAGGAAAATGATGTCTGGTGATCCAAAGAATTTCAAACAGGTTACAGCTGTTTTTTCTCAATCACTTTTCCCATGACAAGCAATTTATTCAGCATTACAAAGCTTAGTTTGTTTATTTCGCTGAGATAAATTGTGGTACAAGGCCAAGAAAACAGCAATTGACCTTTACCTTGAAGCACACAGTAGTTGATCACCAAAGTCTCTTTGAGTTGTGACATATGTAAGTATATGTTCAGGGGCAATTAGTTTGTAAGGAAAACTGATAGCTTGCTTCTTTGCCAAACTAAATCACTCAAAATATAGAGCCATCACAACACAAAGTGATCAATTACGGTCATGCATTGTTATGGCCAAAATAGAATAAGGGCAGGTAAAAGAGGTGACCTTGACTCCACTAAATACCCACCTTGGCAAACTACTTAATATCTGTCCAGCGTTTCTAGGTTTAATTCTTCTTTGATTGAGCATGTCCAACGGTGGCACAATAATACATGCCTTCTCCATATTTGAAGTATAATATTTGCTTTCCTTAATAGCTGTTACAAGGTCATAAAATTCTTTGGAAAACGATGGCGAAATCTGTGCGCCTTTCTCGTCAAAGTAGTTTATAAATGGATAAATATAAACACTAATTTTATCATCCTCATTATAGCCACAACGATAGATATTGAAACAATCATTTGTGTGCATGCGGCAATTTTCGTTCGATGGCAAGGGCAACGGAACATTGGAAGCAATAATTTGAGAATCGGTTGTCTCTTGGCTATCAGTTTCTGGGGGTAAATTACTTTCATCATTGTCGGACCATAATATTATGAAAAATGCAGCTAAAATTAAAAGAATGACAATAAGATAGAACACTCTTTGCTTGAAGTTCACCCCGCGAAACATTGCTATATATTCCGACTTTCCAAACCGTCCTCGATAATCGAATATAAAAAGTATATGGAGTTTGCTACAATCTATCTTTATCACCCTTTAGCATCTCTCGACTTTCCAAACTTCAAACGACGATAGCGATCCTTTCAAATAAAGTACAATATCATTACAGTGGCAAGAATTCCAAGCGTGATTTAGCCTTACATAACTTTTAAAATACCGACAAGTAATAGGACTTTTTGACACGGTTATCTTTGAAAGTTTGTAAAATTGCTAGAAGGCCAAATTTATCCGCCATATTCCTTGCATTTAAAATATCCATTCCCGGGGGGAGTGCACATTTTTGCTTCTTTATTTAGATTTATATAAATTCAGTCTTATAATTCTAGGCTTTTTTCCAGCCTTCTGTCATGCTTGGTATTTTGGTATGCTTTTTGTTTTCAGAAAAGCCACTGTATTCAGTCTGAGCCTGAGTTAACTCAACTCCGATTGCGTACTCCCGACGACCCGACCGTAGTTCCCGTAGTTGGCAATGGAGCCTTTTGTCTCGTATTCGCCCCCCTGGTCACTCCCCGAGTAGCTGCAGTTCAAATATCAAACATTTCAAACATGTCGTTTATTTAGAGATTGTAAAAGCAAAAGTGTTTTAACGTTCAAATAAACGAAATTGCATCGAACCATGGGACAGGAACATAGCAGTGGTCAGAATCGAACCAAATTTTCAGAAGCATCCCCTGTAGGTAACATTGTTGTTGTAAAAAGTGGAAAGAGCACAAGCAAAGACCAAAAAATTGTTGCAGACCCTGACATTGTAAAACTAAATAATATTACAACATTTCACCCATTAACGAAAGGTTCGTTAAATGGGGGTGCGGGAAATGACTTTGAGTTGACAAACAGGCTTGACCCTCGCCCAGCACAGACAATGTGTGCCAGGTATGAGTTGCACCTAAAACTGTGTGCTGAGGCAGTAGCCTTTGATCAGGATGCAATCACTCGTCGTCTAAAAGAGTTGGATAATCACTCTGCATCAGTTCTTCGAGATATCACAGAAAGGCACAAAAAACTACAAAGCCAAATGCAATTTATTTCAACTGTGGAGGATGTGAAACGAAATATTGATAGAGTTGAGCAAACATTGCAGCAAATTATCCCCCTTATGGAACAAATGAATGAAATGCTACCTGAGGAGGATAGGATGGAACCTTTTTTACAAATGTAGTCAAATGTAGTGGCACCACAAGAGCTCTGGAAGGTAGTAGGAGAACAAAACCATCCATAAATGTTGATTTTGTAAAGCTTGGCTATTGTAAATCACTCATACCCAAATGTTTTCAAAAATCAAACATTCAACCTATAATATCAATTAAAAGTTTTGAATAAATGAAAAGCTTAAATGAAAAGTTTTGATTCAGTATTTCTTCATTAGTGCAAATTATATTAATAGTTTTGCTTGAATATGGTTAGACAGATGACTGAAAATGAAAATGAAGCGAAATGGTCATACAGACATTTGCTAAAATTAGTTTGACTGAAGCACTGATAAAATAGGACTAATGTGTCAACTAACTGGTGAGCCAAATGGCTAACTAAATATCTATAAAAATAATACAAAGTATGAAGTGAAACATGTTATACACCTTTCCAGTTATCATAGAAATCTGAAATGTCCTATATTAAAATCTACAAAGGTAGTAATCTATTTGCACAATATCAGAAATGGGACATTTGTGTATATATTTGTTGGATCAAAATGGTGAAAATAGGATACAAAGGTAGTAATCTATTTGCACAATATCAGAAATGGGACATTTGTGTATATATTTGTTGGATCAAAATGGTGAAAATATGATCCAGTGTGGGCCTACATGGCTGAAAAGTTATGTTGAGTAAATTAGGGCTTAAATTTCATAATAAAAGAGATTGGTTTAAAGTTTGTTTGGGATTACCTTAAACAGACAGCGGGTGCGTGAAATGCTTGACGGTGACTTCACTCACAGCCAACAAGGTTAGGTTTATTCTAGCAGTTGGTCTACTTCACACAGAACCTAAATTAGGTACTCCAAATGATATAGACATATAATGTACAAGATTGTTGAATCTGTCTCAGCTAGGCATTTGTTCATGATATTGTTCTCAGCAAACCATGTGTCAAACTCGTTTGACTATGTCTACCTGTTGTACCTATTTTTCTACAGTACAAATACAATTATACAAATCTAGCCAAACATTTGCACACCGGTGAACTGTAATTCACCTGTTGTGCATGCTTGTTCCCAGTATATTTACACATAGAATCGGTTTTGACAATGTATTCGGTTAACCATGAGTGGAATATCAAGAGTGGAATACCGAATACACGAACTTTGACCGAACGAATTTGCATGCCTTGATTCCCTGGGGTTGACACAACCGGTTTGACATTTCTTGTAGTAGTCGTAGAAAAGTTCCGGTCAATGGGAAGGAACTAGGAATCATGTTAGTGTAAGTGTATTTAATATTATTTTTATTCCGTGTCCGTGTTTAATATACAAATTTTGTTTGCCACAAAAAGCTATAGTTTTCTGGGAAAAGACTGAAGAGGTACTTCAGCTAACTGATTGATGGTCATTTATTAGGCTACCCCTTCACCGTAATCATGACGTCGTATCAAAGATGGTGAAGTGGTTAGGAAAAAGATGTGTGTTTTATAAATGACCAAAAAAAATTGTAAAAAAAATTTGCAACACAATCCATGTCTACTCAAAACGAGACAAAGTAATTTTTTCGCCAGTCTTCTTAATCTGGGGCACGGAGCACCGCAGGGTGTCATTTCATTTGGAATCGTTTAATAGCCCTTGATCGCCATGGTGCAATCGTAAACCTGATGGATGGGGGGACATATTCGCATCGTGGGGATGAATAATTTGATTAGAACCCTTTTATAAAATCAACTTGTTCCAAAAATTTTCAGTAGTGATTTGTGTTGTAATTGCATGGCACCTCATTTTTAGGAAATCAAAACTTGGGGATGATAAAATGCCAGTTGGAAATATGGTATGGAAGTTTATAATTTCCATACTAATTGCCATTTCCCTACTATGGATATAGTGTGGAAACAGAAAGGGCGAAGAATATATACAATAGTCAGCATGGATTTTGAAAATCGGGTATCGTCGATCGTTCTTGTTGTTGTTGTCGTTATATAGGGGCTTCCCTAGTTATACCCTTTATATATAAAATTTACGAGTGTAAGTTTTCAAATAGATATTATTTTTAACTTTATCGACGATATGTCTATATATAATCTATGTCATAGACTACACTGGGACACATCTTAAATAAATGTCACTTGCTGTGGACTTTTTCAAAGTCAGTACGCTGACCACACATGTCCTTCGTCGTTTTAGGGTAGTCCGTGTTAAATACTCTATACTTTAGTTCTTCGGAAAGACTTTGTCAATCTAATTTACTACGCCTGGTCAAAACGCTCTACTTAAAACTTAAAAGGCTGCAAATTAAATGCTGTTGCTAAATTAAGAACTTTCGTTAACCAGAAACCATCCCACGTAACCTTAATTCTCCTCGACAGACTTTTTGGTGTGTATATATATCTATTTAGATAAGTTTTGATCGTGTTTATATAGCTTACTCCCTCCGTGTTTACGCTTAATTTTAGCTGTTAGTACAACAACCCCCACAGATGATTGAATTTCAGTTGATATAGATCAAAATCTTAACCTTGAACTCTGAACGCGCCAAGGATGATGGATTTTCACCTATGGGGGCATCTTCGAGCAAACATCTTTTCTTTTATGAGTCTTCGAAAGCCAAATTTCCAATTTTCCCAGGCCCTTTTCAGGCGTGGAACTTGCCATTTGCCGAATCGAATGCAAAAAGCTTAGAAAAACTGACTTAATTAACACTAGTTTAGCACATAAAAATTAATGTTCGTCGTCTGAAACGGTCCTAAAAAAGCTAGAATTCATTACCCTAGCTCAGAGTTTAAGGATTATCGGGTAATTGTTTTCGAAGAAAAAAAATTTGCTTGAATTATCTGTATCTATGAACTCGAAAATATGATGAATATACACACCGAAGAGATTCTCCCGAGGTGAGAGTAAAGTTAAGCAAACTGAACAAAAATGAGATTCAAGACTAAACGAAAATAAAAAAACTAAAAAACTATAAATAGCGTTTATATTAGGCCCTTTTTCTTCAAATTCTTGAGATTTTGTATTCTTCTTATCTTTTCAAGTCCTGTTGATCCTACAGAACGGAAAACAGATATGAAAAACAGCCCGTGTTATTCGAAACGTCTTTTGAGAGTGTGGTGCATGTAGACTAATTGGGCAATCCTGTTGTCGTACAAAGTTTCCATGGACGAATCACACGGAAACTTCGGGGTGGGGGGCAGGGTTGAGGCGCACGCCTGCCACAGACAGGCGAGCAAAGGCTAAAAGCCTAAATGTTTAAACAGTGCATGCATGTTTATGTCAGTTGAACAAAGCGTGAAATTAGTGCAACTATAACAGACGTTTAAATTTATTGGGAATCGAAGAATTATGATAGGAAAGAAGCTTTAATATGGGGCAAATAGAGGTAGCTAGGGTTGTATGGGTTAGGTCATAGACGAACACTTTAAAATGTTCTTTAAAAACGCTCGCGAGCATGGTTAAGGTAATGTTAGTATAAAAGCACAAAGCAACAACTGAATCGAAAGTCCTGCTCTCGACATTTGGAAAGCTTACAGTATAGTCTGCTCGTTTAGCGATCTCTAAACAAATGCTTCGTATCATGTGGCTCATGTCGCGGGCAGGAGCGTTCCGCTTATAAAATCGTTATTCAGTGGCAAACACACTAATCCGATATCACTTTCGTGGATTATGATATAGACGTCATTTATTTTACAATCCACTGCGAATTGCAACAGCAATTAGAAATCAGCTTATCGCGATATCGTGTACTGCGCAGATAAAATGTTGTAAACCACAAATTCACATAATCTCTCTTTTCCCTACAGACATGAAGTAAAAACGCTTGTTCGGCTAGTGCTGAGAAAAGTCCGAGTATTTACTCAAGAAAGTGTGCACATTTGATATTTTCGTTGTCTTTTCCGCGGCGGAAAATGGCTCAGTGTAGTCGCGCTCGAAATAAATTCTTTCAATCATTCCACAAATGACTTTGTTTCCAGGATGTTCCCAACAAAATTTACATTTGGGGTCCTAATCCCCTAGCAACAAAAAACACGTCACAGAACTACTTTAGTTAGCTAATGTATTGTTTTGTATTTTGTACCACTTCAGTGCAATACTGCATCGATTGGTATTGCCATAATTTTATT